TGGGCTCTCGCAGGCTGGGAGCGCGGGCACCCTCTGCGGCGCCCTGCGTCCCCCCAGCCTGCCGGCACCTAGCAGCAAGTGTCACATCCCGTTTGTCCTCCCAGCTGTGTATCCCCAAAACCAGGGACCCTTCGGTGACCGGCATCTCCCCGTTCCTGCTTCTTCCTTAACCGTCCCTGTAGCTACCTGAAGCCTCTGCTGACGCACAGCGGTCCCCCGCTCACGACCACGCTCCCGGCGTGCTGCGGGCCTGTCGCCCGGTGCCTGACAAGTCCACAGGCGTACGAAGTGAGTCCGGCGCTGCCTCGCGGGCCCTTTCTCTCCCGGTGTTGGTGGAGTTTGACATGTTTACATCTCTGTAGCTTTGGGATGCAAAGTGCATCCAAAGAGCCAGGTTTGCTGCCCGGGCTCGGTCTCCGGGGACTCCGCTGACAGCGGTGCCGGCTCCGGCAGCACTGAGGGATCGCAGTGCCGGACAGCCCCTGGCAGCGGGAGCTCTCCGTAGCAGGAGCTCCCTTGTCCTGCTTGCAAAGCATCAGTGTCGAGGTGCCTGCCCAAAACGGAGATGGCTGTGATGGGTTCCTGATGCGGTTCCTATAGCCGTGGGAGTTTTTAGTCCAGTCAAAACCAATCCAAACTGCCTTTACCATATATCTGAATATAGCATCAGAAAAAAGAATCAAGGGAGCCTTTTCAAGTAGTCTGCAGAGGAGTTAATGTGTTATGCAAGTCCGCTGGCCTCAAAGGTGCATTTGTGGCACGTCCGGTCACGGCCAGCGCGAGGGAGAGCCTGCGATTCAGACTCGCTGGCCGCGGCCGTGCGATTCCAAACATCCCCGTCCAGGAAGAGCTAAACAACGCTTTCTTTCCGTTTGTGACCCAGAATCAGGAGCAGCTGAAGGATGACGACTCCGACCTCATTTTGAACGACGGGGACATCAGCCTGACGTACGGGGATTCCACCGTGAACACCGATTCGGTCGCGTCCAGTGGCGCCTCGCGGCGGTTTGTAGGAAACAGCGCCGAGGATGCGCTGGATCGGGAGCTTGCTTTTGGGGACCACGAACTCGTAATCCGGGGAACGCGCTTGGTTCTTCCCATGGATGACTCGGAGCCGCCATCAAACGTCCTGGATAACGCAAGACACGGTCCGGCATAAGGTTGCTCGGTTGATTGACAGTAATATTTGCATATATGATCAAGAAATATGTACTACCTAAAGTCTAATGCATGTCTCAAAATGTCTAAGCTGTATAAATATTATTTATATGGTGTCAGAAGAATATAAATATTCTCTGCCAAGCACTTGTAAAGAACAAGCTGCAAATTTAAGTTCAAAACTGTGTTGACTGCACTGCGTAGGGTGGAACTGTTTTAGCGTAAGAATCTGTTGCACACAGTGAGCTTCTTCTAAAGTGCGATTCACTGAAGGGTTTAGGTTGCAGCTGGGTCAGTAAAGGAGCTGACTCCCTGTTCCTCCTCCGCACCTGGGAGAGCGGGGTAGGGAAGTGGTGGCGAACAAAGTAAATTGCTTTCTATTCAGGTGGGGAGTTTTGTCTCTGATCTTTGGATAATCACATCAAAATGTCAGTGAAACGTCTGCCTACGCACTGTCTCGCTGGGCAGTGGCCAGCAATAACCTTCGCTGCTTCGCGGGAGCCTGAGCGGGGATCCTCATCCCTGCGGAGGGATGTGAGGGCGCAGGGAAGGAGAGTTTCTTATTTTAAGTGACCTGTCTGCCCTGGCCACGGCACTGCTTTAGCAAGCTAACGACAGACGTCGGCCAAAGCTCTTTGCAACGATTCTGGGTGTCCGGCTGTTTGGATCGGAGCCCAAAGAAAGGGGCGGGCAGGCGGGCAGGAGGCTCTGTTTGTGCTTAGCAGAAAGAGGCGATGCCGCGTGAGCTACGCAGGCTGTGCACAGATTTTTAGGGTTGAGTCTGTCTCTGGGTTGTCACTCAAGCAGCTCTCTGGAAGCAGCAATCAAATCCCGAATCGGCAACGAAATTTCACGTTTGGGAAGCGGCCACGTCTCGGCGCGAGTGAATCCCTTCCGCTTAAGTCAGGGAAGGGGCTGACGGCGCCGGGCCGAGCCCAGGCAGCCCGCGCCGGGCCGACCTGCAGCGCCAGCGCTAGGGCTCCGCGTTGACCCCTTTCCTCCAGGCTCCTCCAGAAGGGTTTAGCAGCGAGGTGGTACCGAAGGGGAGAGTTGGCTGCCCGTCCCCCCTGTATAGTCCGAGTCGTTGCACTTTGTTTAATAACTCCTTAGCGTTATTCGCATGCCGCGTGTCCGTAATCCTGCTCTCTCTCATGTCCCTTACCGTTTACTGAGAAACGTTTGCGAGTTGATGTGTTTTGGGGTTTTTTGTTTGTTTGTTTTTGCTGTTTTCCCAAGGAAGAGCACAGAATAATTTGCAGTTTCGCACTGGTGTTACAGGATTTGCTCTGCAGTTACGGAAACGGCTAAAGGCGCAGTGAAATTGTTAGCCCTGACGTCTTCCCTCCCCCCGAGAGGGGGAAGGGACAGACCTTTGCTGTACGCAATTTCGTTGCCTGTTTTAGCCACCGTTTTGCTATACAAAACTTTGTCAGGGTTGCGGGAGCGCTGCAAGCTCTGGGTTAAAAGGAGACCGCGCGTAAGAGGAGCGAGCTGAGGCCGAGCGCTCCCGGCTCCCCGCAGAGCAAACGCGGCATCCCTCGGGATCGGAGCAGCTTCCCTCCGGCTCGTCCCCAGCGCTACCTGAGAGCGGGACGAGACACGAAATACTGAAATTTTGCACGTGTATCTATACAATTGGGAAGCTAAATTTAAACTTTTTTTTTTTTTCATTTTCTCAGGTCTAAGTAACATTGCCTTAAATTTACTGAAGTGAAACTAATTATTTTGGCAGTTTATCCCCAAGAAAGTGTTTTCTTTTTCCTTCTGAACAAACTGCGTGGCTGCTGCCGTGGGACTCCTGGCGAAGGGGGTACGCTCTGTTTGTGTTCAGGCTTAGACTCTTCCTTGCACCGATAAATGGCAGTTCTAGCTGTTAACGTAGCTGTTGGATTAGCGCTAGCCTCTCTGTTTCCTGCTATGCAGGATTTCCATAAAGTGTGCGTTTTATATGATGTCTGTAACTTAATGTGTTTAAAAAAGAAAAAAAAAAGAAAAAAAAAAAGTTGGTACATGTTGACTTTAGGTTTACTTGCCTCACTTCTACATTGCTTTTATTTTTCAGTTTTGCGGTTTTGAAGAGGTATGATAGATAACTACCTCTTGTTTTTTTTCCTGTATAGTCTTGACTATGAATTCAATTTACGAAAATTCCCGCTGGTACAGCCGGGCGCGCGGAGCAAGGCGCCTGCGGGCTGCTGCTCCCGCTGCCGGCGCCCGGCGCCCCGCCGACTGCAGAGCCTCCCGCTGCTGCAACGGGCCTCGAGGCCGG